AAAGCTAAAGGCCCGGGAGCTAGGCGTGGTGGACATCATCGTGGGCCGCACTGGGGAAGGTGTGCACAGCATCGAACTGCAGCTCCGCGACGGGAGGCAGGCGGATCCATTCTCAACGGTCCAACCGCTGGTACCATGTTCCATCGATTGGCATTCACAAGCTCGAAGTCGTGGGTCCATGAGTATCCAAGCAGGTTGCTCTTACATCACCCTTGACAAATTGACAGAGTCTCAGAGCTAAGCTGAAGCTGGCGGTTGGTCGAGCTCCCTGAGAGTATGGAAGGACCTTGTACTATGGCGCGGAGGGCGGGGCTGTGATGACAACCTTCCAGCTGGAGCCCAAGGAGCGAATGGGCGTGGTCTACATTATGTTGCCTCCTGTTTCACAGCCGCTCAGAGCCGTTTTGGATAGATGGCGCTCCTTCTGTTCAAGGTTGACCTCCAGGTTTTTGATCCCAAGACGCTGCAGATTGTTCCGGATGTCTTCTTGGGCCGGAGGTCTGGCGGCGCCAAGCGCGTTCCCGCAGGCCCCCCCCCCCCGCACAGGAGCTGCTGGTGGCGGTGATGCAGGACTTCTCGCTGGACAACGTGCTGGGCAGCTCCGTGGTCTTCTACACCAGCCATGGCAGCCCCCGGGCAAGGAAACTGAGGGAAGGAGTTCTGGGTTGGGACGAGGCGCAGAAATCCTAGGGTTTTGTGGGGGGTTTGGGGGGGGGGGGGGGGGCGTTCGTGCAGTCCCTCCGTGTGGGGTGTGCTCCTGGTGGGTGGCGCACTGCGCGTGATGCTGACCTGTCCCCAGTTCAGCAATTTGTGGATGATCTTAGCTTGGGGCTTGGCCACAAAAGTCAAGAAGACATTTCAAGCCCTCTATTTTTCCAGATCCGATGTCCGATGTGCCCAGTGCCAGGAATCCTGTCGATCAACGGCAGCGAAGCGCGGACCCGGCGGCGCTTTGTGGCGCCGGCGGGGCGCCAGATCGCGGGGCTGCAGTTCGATGGGCACCAGCTGGTGGGCACCTACTTGGAGACACTCGGATGCGAGTTTCTTCGAGAAAAGGGTGTGTTTCACTCAACATTGGTCTGGTTTGCCTCTAATTCCCCTTCAAACTAAGCTAAGCAGCGGCTACGAGGGAGGGGGGTTCTTTAAGAACATACGTTGGATATTATTTTGACATGTAATTGATGCCAGCACAGACCGCAAACAGAGAACTAGAATCCGCGGTGACTTGCACATTTGAGAAGCTTCAGGATTCCTGCTCAACAAGTGGGGTGGGGGTCTCCGTCGCATGGTGTGTTTATCCATGGGAGCACTTGCCAGGAAGGTCCTGAACGACGGAGAGGGCGCGATCGAGGGCATCTCTGGCCGAGTGGGATCCGCTGTGGACATGTGCGAGTTCAAGCTTCGGGATGGCACGGTGTATACCTATGGACGCTTGGCGCACGGACAAATCGGTGGGGCGGGAATCAGATGATGTCATTTGAGCCGCTTGCACGGCAATCCCATTGTAAAGGTCCTCATGGAGACTCAGAGTTAGTTCTGGTATCTGCTTGCTTGATTCAGATGCCGAGTTGTTGGTTTGCATTGGCGGTTTGGGGACTTGAGGGACAATGGCAAGCCATCCCCAAAGCTCCAAACCACGGGCGCCAAGCCACTCATTGGAGGGAAGTTGCTCGATGTTTCATCGGAACATTTTGCATTCGATCAACCCGTGGCTCGACGTTCATGCCAGCGGCATGATACCACATTAGGGGAAAGTGGGGATTTTTTTTGAAGGACCCCCCCAAGAAAATAAAAAGAAAAGACGCAGAATAACAGGTGGGTTGTGAATGGACAGCAAAAGGACATCCCCTTTTTTGGGTGGTCCGATTCCTAAAACAGACACACACACACACACTCATACAGAAGTGTCCCTAATGTGTACAAAAACCAGCGCGTGGTGCAGAACATTTGTTGCAGATTGTGGAGCTTCCCTTAGTCAATGATTTCATTGCTTTCCTTTGGCCGCGGTCCATTTTGAAAAATGGTTTGAAGCATGTTGATTTGCCGCTCTTGGATTTTGTTCGCAAATCAACTTAAAGGCTCCCAGCCTGGGTTCAGTGGCATCTAACCCGCAAGTTAAAGTTTGAGGGGGATGAGTTGGGACAGCGCGGTCAAGAACTGGGCCCACTGGCTTGCTTTTTCAGTCACCGTTCCACGTTTCGAGGCCAAACGGGCGGAGATATTCTGAGAGGTCCCTGGATGCTGCAAGCGGATGAGTGGCTCGTTGCCGTGGAGCGCTTTGGCACAGGGCTCGCAAGTTGCGCGCGCAGCCAGGGACAAGGGAAGCGCAGGGCAAGTAACTCCAAGCGTAAGACGACTCACTTTTCACAGGTCGGCTCATTAAGACACTTAGCTGCTTCGGGAACTTTGGAGGGGGAGGGGTGCCAATTAGGGAATTGTTAAAGGCAAATTGAGACGAGTTTTGGACAGCACTCTTACAGACTTGAAACTCGTCTCGATTTGCTTCAAACAATCCCTAATTGGCCCCCCTCCCCCCAGTGAGAGTGCCGTTGTTTGCACGGGGCAGTCATTGAAAAACAGGTGCATGCCTGTGCTTTGTTACTTTTCCTGCTCTGCTCTAAGCAAGCTTGGGGTAGCAACCTAACGAACAGAAATTATCCCGGTTTTCAGAGTGCCTTACCTTGACGACGGGTGGCCGGAAGCATAGAAGCACAATAAACTCTGACACTTCCCCTGCTGATGAGAAACACGTCAACGTTTCTGCTGAAGCAAAGCTTCTGCAAGTTCTGATGAGCGAGCTTAGCATCATGCTTCAACTCCTCTCGCGCGCGATGCTGCGAATCGATGCTGCGCGTGAAGCTTCGTGTGATTGCGCATGATGCTGCGCATGACGTTGTACGTGATGCCGCGCTCGGCGTTGCGCGGGCCGCCGTGCACGATGCTGCGCGCGAAGCTGCGCGTGATGGCCCCTCTTGCGCGTGATGCTCTGCAACATCTCTTGCCCAACCTTTCCTGTCGCTTTCTCTTGTCAACCTCTCTTGTCCATGATTCGAGGCTTTAAATTCAAGTTGCGATTCCGATTTTCACGCTGGAGATGCGAAAGCGCACCTTCCAAACGCTACTTTCGATTAACAGTTGTGATTTTCGAGCTGGAGCTGTGAGACAGCTCTTCGCGCGCCACCTTTGCACGCAAACGCTTACAATTTTGCAGCAGGAGCTGCGGGAACGCACTTTGCGCGCCACATTGGACGCAAAAGTTGCGATTCTCGAGCTAGGGCCGTGGCAACGCGCTTCGCGTGCTACTTTGTCACTGAAAGTTGCGACTCTGCACCCGTCGCTGCAAAACGCGCTTCGCGTGCTACTTCTGTACTGAAGACTTGCAAATTCGAGCTGGAGCTTCCCTTAGTGTAACACTATTTGGGGAATGACAATAATTATGGGCTACTTGCTGTTCCTCCCGCAGCCTCTCCGACCAGCCCTTCTCAGAGCCGTGTTTTTGCCGAGGCAGTTCTTCCGCGACCGGAAGCTGGGCGCATCTCTGGCCTTCTACACCTCTGCGGGCCAGGTCTTCAAGCTCTCAGGCGCGGAGTCTTTGGAGCCGGAGGGGCCCAGGGCGCCTAATTTGGGGCGCCTAAAATTTGGGCCCATGGCCACCTGGCAGTCGCACTGTGATCCGAAACCTGGCGCCCGTTCGCCACGTGGGCGCCCAATCGCTGCGTCACAAAAAGAAGGGGGCTCCCTTTGTCGGGGGCCAGGGCCCAGGGAAGCCTAGCGGAACATGGAACCCAGCCTTGCAATCTGCGGTTTGCCGGTGGGCGAATTGGCCCACACCCATGTTTGCTTTTGCAAACTGCCCTGCGTTGGAACATGTGTAACTGTGAAGAAAGAGGACAAGATCATGCACCTTCCAGCACGACACGCAGGAGGATGCAACGATGCCAGATATGTCTCACCTTTGAGTTGGAACAGTTGCATCTTTCTGCACCAGAAGTTAGATGTTGGCCACCTCCGTCCCAAACACGCACAGACACACACGTCAGAACGGTTGAATTGATGTGATGCTTTGCGCCGTGAAAGCGGCTATCCCTTCATTGCTACTCAAAGCATCGACACGGACAGTAAGATGTTATGAAGCATTGCAACAGACCGCAACAGGGCAACCGTCAAAATGAGCGTAGGATGTCTTGTGTTAGATGTGCACTCAGCAGCCAGCATTTTTATGATCCAACCAGGCTACAGGAGGCTTGTGTAACAAGAGACTCGGGCTGCTACTTTACTTGCCCTTTCTCTAGCAAAAGTTGATTCGGTGTAGCATGGATATATTCCATCTCCCCTCTGAGGCATGACCGCAGTGAAGTCCCCGCGCTTTGCCGCGCCCTTTGGCCAACAGATTTGCGACTTGATTTTCGACGAGACTGGGCGGCTGGTCAAAGTGGTCACCTGCCCTCTGTCGAGTCGACCAGAGCTCACCAAAGCTAGGGCCTGCACAATCCAACTGTAGAGTCCAAGTGCTTGGATTGGGGTCACATGCCTGGGGCTCTTGGATTGTCCAACCGGTCCCTGCCAATGTCGACACAGTCCCTTGGTGGCGTGACTTCAGCCGAGAGATTTTAATTTGCCAGTACATAGCCTTTAGGTGATTTATTCAATTTGAACACAGAATAGGCGCGGCAGACCCAAGACCATGGCGAGCGGCCGGGAAAATGAGCAAGGTGTGCAAGGACGCGCGTCCCAAAATGACAATGCAAGTCGCTGGGGGAGGATGGTCATTTCGTGAGTTGATGATGTTGAGCGTAATTGTCCAAACTCAAAAACAGTGAAGTCTTAGTCATAGGAACTGTACGGCTCTCAGACCCCATGCGCCCCATCCGCCCCATCCGCCCCATCCGCCCCATCCGCCCCATCCGCCCCGTCCGCCCCGTCCGCCCCATCCGCCCCATCCGCCCCGTCCGCCGGTGAGAGGTCCCCGAAAAAGCGGGGCACGAGCCCTCGACCTCCAGGAGCTTCAGGCGTTGACGGCGCTGGACGTCAGCGCCTGCGCCTTGGAGACCGAGAAGCCTTTGGAGGCCTTGGGGGCAAGGGGGGCGACGGGGGAGGAGGCGCTGGGGCCAGGGGCCTGGTTTTTGTTGGGACCTGGAAAATTGGGGGAGGGCAGAGTTCCAGTCCAGTCCTTGAAATGATGCGGATGGGGCTGGTTTTTTGAATGTTACATTATGACTCGACAAGCAAAATCATTAATCAAGCTCGGCGGATTTCGTGATAAGAGTCGCAGACATGCCCGTGTTGTGTTGGGAGAATGCCAAGCCACTGCAGTTGCGCAGAAGGGCACTCGGGTGACGCGCGCTGTGCATGTTTGTTAGGTTCTTTTGGGGCTGATGTGTTTTTGATTATGGCTGGCAGCTGGTTGGCTGGGCTTTCTGGCTGGTTGGCTAGCTGGCTGGTTGGCTGGTTCGCTGGTTGGCTGGCTGGCTGGCTGGCTGGCTGGTTGGTTGGTTGGTTGGTTGGTTGGTTGGTTGGTTGGATGGTTCGGGGAGGATGAAGGGGTGCGACATGGACAGCATTACCTCACGAACGCTGCTACTTTTGATTTGGACTCCCTTTTTTGGTGTGGCGCCGCAACGGGCAGCCACGCAGATGTAGACAGAAAGCAGCTCTGTTTGCGTGCCTGTTGCACATACCCCGAAGTTGTTCAAAGCACGCATTTCCTTAATATCAGACCTACACGAAAGCCGACTTATGCATCGATTATGTTCAACATGCGCGCGACTCAGGGACTTTGTGTCACATCGTCTAATACACTTCTGCAAAGATGAAGTACACAGTCTATTTATGCATCTTTGCAGACAATGTGTGCGCGTTTACAGCCTTCCCTCTTCGCTTTCAAGCAAGATTGCAACATGTACAAAAGTGCGATTGCCTGAGAGGGCACCGCATCCATATTTTGGTTGAGCAGGTTTGAATGTGCGCATACGTGCAACAGCTTGAACCGCAGTGGTTGAAGCATCATCATGCCCCCAAGCAAACCTACATTCTTTACCAGCCATGAAAGGCCATTGTTTTCTTTCAGCTAGCGATGCTGCGTGCAGTGTGTAAGAGCACATGCTTGGGCCATATACATTTTCGAATGTTCATGTACACGTACGTAAATATGCATGCGTACATGATATATGTGTATATGTACAGTTTTGTTTATTTGCCTAGATATGTGCTTATTTATTTATTTATTTATTTATTTATCTATTTATGTATTCATTTATGTATTTCGTTTATTTATTTGCTAGTTAGTTGATTCATAATCAAATAAGCAATTAACTAATTGATTAATTACTTAGCCGACTTATACAGATACTCCGATCACATCATAATATGTGCTGAATGAACACCGAGTCTGGCTGTTTGCCTTGCGCGAGGTCCTGCGGCAGCTGCCTCTGCTGCGGAAGCTCAAGGCCGTGGGTCCCCTGGGCCAATCAATCCCGCGTGGGTCGCTGGACGGCTTTGGTTGGGGTTTCGAAGGGAAGCCAAAGGGAGAGCACCTTCTTGTGGCGAATGGGTTGGAGCTCATGTGGCCAAGCCGCTGATGGAAATTGTGGGGGAAACAAAGCAGGCACTGCGTTTCGCGCGAAGATTCTGGGCAAGAGGTTGACCATTTTCGCGGGTTTTCGCATCCAAATGTGTCGGCTGGGTGGCATGGACTCCTGCTTGTTCAAGACGGGGGCATGTGGGTGCAGATCTTGGCAGATCATCGCAGATCATGGTGTTCTTGTTCTTCAACGGCTGCGTGCTGAATAGTGCAGTTCCTTTCAAAACACAAGCAGTGGGAATGCTGGATAAGTACACCTGGGCGAAACAGCTGGCAACCGCGCAGGTGAAGGGCAATCCTTTCACCGAATCGGTGAGCAGCGTGCCAGTGGTGGCGCGGGTGCCAAGCGGCATTGGTCTCAAATCCACTCGAGCTCCCAGCTTCTCGCTGGTTTGCAAGCTATTGTCGCAAGAACCCAAGCATCGCGTGGGAAGCCTTTTATAGCGATCATGGTGGTTTTGCATGCTGAATCAAGGGGGCAAGGTGGAAGCTGCCAAATCTTCTCAGGGGTTTCTGGACCCAGCATGTGTTCCATACTTTGTCAAGTCGAGGGGGCTGCGATCGTCACTATATATTGGGTGGCATGGATACATGCAACATACATATCAACTTCTTCATCTTTCGGTGTGACCAAAAAGACAAGGCTAGGCATGACGGGTGCCTCCTTGCGAGCAAGGCGCTGGTGTGCCATTGGCGTTTGACAGACGTGGATGACATCGCCATCACTGAGGAGTGCAAGTGGTCAGCCCTTTGGGAGGGGTAAGGGAGGTCTCTCGCAGGGCAATGGGGTCCATTTGGGCTGGTCCAAGATGATTGTTTGATCCAGCAGCGAAGCCATGATCCAGCCAAATACGTAGCAATGGCAAAATATGGAGACCGGTCACAGAGCACACTTATCGCAAGCAGCGCAAGACTGTTGCCAACACCAACAGATTGGGAGAACTCGTCGGAAATGCCGATGATGTGTTCACAAAGATTGCCCATTCAGCCACCCAACATAGCTTCACAAATCCAGCATGGTTCGCCAGAATCCGTTGAAGCAACCAACAGTTGCTGGAAAGCAGTCGACTCTGCACGGACAGGAGCATACAGAAGCAGCAAAGGCGCTGAACATTCAGCGGATCCTGGAGGACCGGACACCTCGTAGGTGAGATCTTGACTGCTATTGGGTGGGATCTTTAGACTTTCACTTTTTTGGAAATAAAGGTGTTTTCCACTAAACCCCCAAAAAGTTAAGCTTTTTGCAGGGGGGTCAAGAGCAACCAAGAGATTCAGGTCTGGTTTGGTAAAACCCAAACTGTTTCTCTTTTTGGTGGATGATAGTGGAAGTCGGCGCTTGGAGTTGTTCAACAGGAGTCGCAGCTGCATTATTGCTTTCTGGAGCAAACATAAAGAGGATCAAACAGACACAGGCAGAGACAAAGAGGGGACAGAAACGGACTCAAAGACCAGAGTTAGAGACTGATACAGAAGCAGAAACAGAGACAGCAGACAGAAATGTGCGCGCACGCACACACATACACATGCCAATCAATATCGCGCGCACACAAGCACATACAGCTGTATGTTGGGGCCCGTACGTGATTAAGCAAGCCTTGGGATGCGGAACATGTTATGCCTGTAGGGGGTCAACTGGTGCAGGAGCGCGAGCGACTCAAGGAGGAAGCTGCCAAGGCATTCGGGAGACAGCAATGGAAGGAGTTGCAAGAGCTAGTACTCGCACTTGGCAACGTCCCAGTTGCCATCCTTCAGCAAGTTTATGCCTGTTGCACTCTTCAGGTGATTAACAAGTCCTCTTGCGGCGTGAAGAAAGTGAAATAAGAGCCCATGTGCCCATGGCTTGAAGCATGTGTCAGGCGGAGGCAGAGGGATGAAGAAGGCCATTGGTCAGTTTCACCGTCTCACTTCGCACGTACGCTAACTCAAAGAATGAGGTGGCTGCAAAACCCAAGCCCTGCCCGTGCGGATGCGCCAATTTGGTAAGGCTTGCGACTGGAAGAGCTGGCACGCAGGCCTGCCAGGCTTCATTTTGTTAGCATCCTTAGACGCGCTGCGCAGCCGAGGGCTGTAGAGTCAGGCTGTCAGTCGTAGGGCACCCATCACATGATTGGCCTGCAGCTCTGATCCATGTGCATGGACAGCACCAAAGCAAACGCCCTTGCCTTCTTGGGTGGTTTTTGACAGCATCAATAAGAACCCTTCAAACTTAGAGCAAACAGAAAAGGAAGCCAACGCAGATGGGATCAGTTGCGAAGCTGCTCGACCGGGTCTTTGGCCTCGTGTCCCTGGGTGACGCTTGGAGCATCGCTGGCGCCTCGGGCTTCATGCGCCATGGGCGCCGGGGGCTCCGCGGCCTGGCTGCCGGGCCTGGCGGAGCTGCTGGCGGCGGCGCCCGCGGACCTGGCGCCGCAGCTGCGGCCGCTGCTGCGGCTGCGGACGGAGCAGCTGCAGGCGGCCTTCGAAGCCTTCCGTGAGCAGGACGGAAGACACATGGGCTGGGGGTGGGGGTTGCGGGGTGGGGTGGGGTGGGGTGGGCTGGGGTAGGGTGGGGGTTGCGGTGGGGTGGGGTGGGCTGGGGTTGCGGTGGGGTTGGGAGCCAAAAGAGCAGGTGGGGAGTGTGTGACCTCGGTTCGGACATGAAGGACCAAGCCAGAGACAAACCAGAAGGGTGAATGAGATGCTGCAGTCATGAGTGAAGCAGCGGAGATAGGGAAGCGATTTGGCTGCTGCTTGTATGCCTCAAGGATATGACTACAACTCAGTGTGTGCAGTGCCGGCCACGCGAGGAGCGGCTGTCGCTATCGGACGTGGCCGAGCAGCTGCAGCTGGACCAGAAAGCTGCGCGAGTGTTGCTAGCGGGCCAGAGCCACGTGCAGAGCTTCGACCTCATGATGCTGCTGGTGATAGTAAGCCGCACCCATCTTTGCACCAAGGCCGGAAAGCTGGCTTCTTCCCGTTTTTGTTTGTGCAAACAGCAGGCAACGCGCGGCTCAAGGCAATTGTTTGCGTTCTGGCCAACAAAGCAGGTCCTTGGTCTCGTGAAGACCGCAGAGGTCCCTTTTTCCCTGCAGCCCGTCCCATTTTCATGCTTTCTGATCTGGCGTTTTGGTTTCTTCCTTTCAGCTCATCTCACTTGTCACTTGCCAGGTTCGCCTGATCTGCTTCATGTGGCGCCTGGACTTCGGGGCCTTCCGCCAGATCGTGTCTTCCTTCCTCTGGGCCGTGGGGCGCCTCAGCGGCACGCGCCGGAGCGAGGCCTTGTCGGAGCCGCTGGTGGAGTCTTTGGCCTTCTGCCTCTTCCGGCCCCACGACCCGGAGATGCCCCAGGCAACCGCGCTTGCTTTCGCTTGCGGCACCGTGCGGGGGGGGATCAGGCGCGCGCTTGCAAGCGCGGCACCGCGCGAGTTTCGCGCAAGTGCGCGGATCGGAGGGATGGGCCGGTCTTTTTGGGGATGTGGTTCGGTTCCTGGTAAGTTGAGGAAAGGGAAGGAAAGGGAAAACCGGGGCAGGGAAAAGCGTTGCGGAGGTCGAAAAACATCAACACAAAACAATGGGTTGGACCCATAGGAACGTTTCTGAAGATTGGCTGGACCAATTCCTTTGGGTGGTTGGCTTCCTTCTAAGGCCTCCGATTGCAACCATCCAAAAAAGGGGACCACCCATGTCTTGGGATCATCGGGATATCTGCCTCGTTCCAATGGAAGTGGAGAGGTGGAAGACCACACTGATGAAGAAAGGCGACGCCCTGTCTACTGCCATGATTGTGGGAAAGAGGGCATTCACTCCTGGCGAAAAACCCCTGAAAGGGTATGGTCCAAGGGTCTGGTGGAAGAATTGACTTTTTCCAGCTGCTCTCTGGAAGAAGCCAGCCATCGGAGACATTCGAGAGACAATGAGCAGACATGAAACAGATGAAGCATCAAGGGGCAGTTGGTTTCTTAGCCACGAATCTGATCTGAAATCCCAACTCAGTTCACTCAGTTGTTCAGTGGAACCCTTTTCCCATCTTTTCTTGGTGGCTGTCCGCCTAAGAATGTTTTTTTCCCCCAAAACGGGTTTCCCTCTTTTTTTTCTCCAGGGTCACTGACCAACCGAGCTCAGTAGCTCCAGCCGCCCGTGGCTTTTTAGGAGGCCTTCCTGAAGCTGGCCAGCTGCCACGCGGGCGGCTTCCTGCGCCGCTTCTCCCGGGGCCCGGACGAGGTCTGCGTGCTGGGCCTCTGGCCGCGCAGGCCGCGCGAGGCGCCGGCGGCGAAGAAGCCGCCGGGCTTCCGGAAGGGCTACTTCCTGGCGGTGCCCTCAGCGAAAGAGGCGGAGAGGGTGGAGAGGGGAGGAGGGGAGGGGAGGAGGGGAGGGGAGGAGGGGAGGGGAGGGAGGGAGGGGAGGAGGGGAGGGGAGGAGGGGAGGGGAGGAGGGGAGGGGAGGAGGAGGGGAGGGGGAAGACTGGAGAAAGAGGCAAGAAAAGAAAGAGGGGCGCGCCGGAGCGTGCAGTGAGCTTGGACGTGGAGGTGTTCTTGCTCCCCTGTTTGCAAGCTTGGCAGGTGAGGCCTCTGAGCATTTTGCTTGCCATGAGACGAGTGCTCAATTGTTCGCAAGGTATGCTCAGGTGTCGCAGGAAGCTTCCAATTCAACCGCCAAGCGAAGCCTTGGGCTGTTGGTCACTGATAGGGGATGAGCTTAGTCCCCTGGCAGGTTCAATGGACAATACCGGATCTGCTTGCTCACATTTCAGGAGGTTTCGCCATTAGCCCAGGTTCCTTTCACTGATAGTGCCTTGGCATTTTTTTTGACAAAGCGTTCACATGATGTGAACGAATTGCATGATGCGTTCACGTGATGTGAACGAGTTGTATAACAATTGGGCATGCCAGGTAGGAATCATTGGCAGCGTTTAGCTGGCGGATGTGATCAATTGAAGGTTGACAGCAGGGGCGGAAGTTGAGGTGCGTCGAACGATTCGAAGCCTAAAGAACACCATGCAGATTTCGCCAAATCGTGAACCTGAATGAATGTCAATGGCACAGACGTAGTGTTTGAGCAGGACACCGCGAGAGAGCCACTCGCTGAACTTATGGGGCGCTATCTGGGTCACGGAAAACCTTTCCCAAATTCAACAGCTGAGCTCAGGAAATCAGATGGAAGCCGACCCTTCACACCCAAGGTGGGTTCCCTTGCCCTTCACACCCACTTCTACTTAGGGTTTGCCTCAAAATTCAATGGACTTTCAGGGCTTGAGTTCCCTTTTCAGCCCAAGCTCGGGCAGCCTCCGGAGGTGGCGCTGAGTGTAGAGCTGGAGCAGATCAAGCTGGAGCGCAGCAAGCCCTTGGACAAGCTGGCGGTGAACACCCTAGACCTGGAGATCCGGGAGCAGGCACCTTCCCGAAAGCGAAAGGAGCTCACAGGTCCGATCAGCCCAGGTCTCGAGACTTCCTTCGGGACTTGGACAGGTAGAGAAGACCCACCACCAGGAGTGGTGACTCGAAAGTGCGCAGGGGTGCAACCTCACACAAAGAGAGCTGCTTTCTTGTCCACGCAAAAGCATGGTGTGTGTGTACTCCTGGTGGTGCCTGCGATGCTTTTGGTGTGAGTTGTTCAAAGTGCGACCCACTAAGATGGGAATCTGATATGGCGACCTACTCAACACGCAGTGATGCCCCCCAAACCATTGGGCATATTGGGAGTTGGCCCGCCCCTGAGGACTGGCTAAAGGATACTCCCCCCTGTTCAAAGAGTGATGTTTTGGTTTACCTTTGCCTCTAAATGGGCCAACTCCATGGTTTCTTTGGCCTCCCTTCAAAAAACCGAAAAGGAGCTTCTGGTGCCCTTGCATTCTGTCCGTCCCGAGGCCATCCAGGCGGAGCTGGCGGTGGAGGCCAAGGACGTCTTCGCGCGCCGGGAGTACCGGCGCCGGCTGCAGAAGGTGTGGCACAGGCGAGGTGGCCGAAGGTGCTTGATGTTCACGCACGTCCCACAAGTTTTCGTTCAGGGATACCCATAGCTTCCCCCTGTGTTTTTCTCAGAGGTTCCCCATAGGTTTCCCGCAGATTTTTCCATAGGTTGGAGTTTCTAGTGTGCCAAAAAGAACAAACCAGAAGTTTAGAAAAGAAGAGCCTGAAGCGAACATGGAAGGGGGCTGCCTGTTGTTTGATGATTCTGGTTTGGGTTGGGAGATTTCATTCGCTGCCGTTTGCCGATGGGACTCTGGCTGAGACAAACACTGTTTGAATATGCGCGTTACCAGGGACTCGTCGAACCTTTTCTGAAATGGGTCTGTCTCCAAACTAGCCCTGAAAAGGGGTCGCCCTATTTTAATTTTCCTTTAACCAACTCCAAAACAGTGCACCCCCAAGAAAAGGGCAAACCCCGATAGTGGATGGCTTTTTGAATGTCTCAAGGCCCGCAAACGGCTCAGGAGTCGGCCCAACTCCGCCCACTGCCGAAGGCAGCGGGTCTTGCAGGGCCGCCTTTGGACGGCCAGCAGCAGCCATCTGGCACGGGGCGGCGTGCTGCCCTGTGGCTTGGCATGGGGCTGGGCGGCTGGGCATGTCTTTCTTTTTTGGGGAACACACCTTTTTGGGTGTTTTAAAGGGAAAGCAACGCAACGCCGAAGCCGTTTTTTTTTGGGTGTCTCGAAATGATCCACCCAGCTCTTTTCAGCCAAGAGTCCTTGCCTATTTGACAAAAATCAGTTGCGGCCTCAGAACCTTGAGTCTTGCATCGCTTTGTGTCGAAGCATGATCATGGCAGAACATGGAGAACATGTGTTTGGAATGACACATACCCCAAACTTGGCGAGTTTATTCCATATTTCAGATACGCTTCTTAACAAATTCACGGGAGTCGTCTTTCCCGTGTCTATCCAGCTTTGGGCTTCTTTCCGTTGACGCCCATGGGTTGCCTTCACCCGTGAGGCAACATCACTCGGCCCATCACGCCCGTGGAGGTGCAGGCTGCGGTGAACTCGGTGGTATCCAGCACCTCCCAGCCCTCTCGCACCATCAATCAGCGGGTGCTCCAGGAAAATGCGAAAGTTCCGAGTGACGCAAGCCCTCAACCGTTGTCAACCCCTCAACCCCCGCCCCCTGCCCTTTAAAGGGAGCCCAAGGTTGTTGAACCAAAGGTGGCGCTTGAAGCCGAGCTCTTCAGGTTTTTCCCCCCCTCGAAGGCGCTTTTTTTCTTTTTTTTTCCCCTTGGTGCCCTTTTTCCCCCCCTTGGTGCCGCTCCTTCTGACTGTGGATGTCCACCTGGACTTGGGCTCCGTGATTTCCAGGCACCCAGTTGTTTCAAACCAAAAGGCCGGAGGGCGTCCAATCCCGAGGAGTTCGAAACCACCTTGGCCGAGCGGCCGCGGCACTCCACCGAGGAGCTGGCGGGCTCCGAGAACTCGGGGTGCAAGGATGAGGAGACCTCATCGAGCATGGAGTTCAGTTATTTCTCTTCTTTTTTTCCCGTCTGATTCGTGTTTTAGTTTCCTTGTTTCCAGTTTGGTTTTTTATTTGGTATCCAGTTCAGTGCTTGGTCCGTGTTCCAACGTTCTAGCATAGCCCGAATGGACGGCTTGCTTTGTTTTGAAGCGAGGAGAGATGCCTCTTCAAGCACGCGGAGGTGCTGGCTGCCTTCGACCTCTACCGGAGCGACTATTGGCTCAAGGAGGGCGGAGGCATACGCTCGCTCCTGAAGGCGGGGCCGAAGAACCGGTTTTTCGGTCGACCGCCAGATCCGTCGGCCCGTCGGACCCGGTTTGACGAGTTGTCTCGGTTGGAACGGATCGGCCCATTCCTGAGGCCGGCTTGCCCACGCAGCAGCCCAAGCACATGTCGAGCGCCGACATTGCACACCGACGCAAGGTGGAGATCGAGCTGATGCTGCGGGAGGTGGCAGAGGAGAAGCCGTCCTCCCAAACCCCCAGCGCTTCGCAGGAGTTGACCTTGCGGGGATTTCTCAAAGCCGTTTTCCCCTTGGCCAAAGTCTCGGACATCAAGATCATGCTGCAGTGGATCAAGCGCCCCCCGTCCGAGAGCAATGCGAACCGCTCGGCGCACGCGGGCAAGGCGGACCTGGGCTTGCTGCGTGAGCTGATCGACTTGTTCGACGCCATCGACGGGGAGCACACGGGTTTGGTGCCCATCGAGGCCGTGGAGCGGTTTCTCTCGGGGGAGATCGTGACGCAGGGCGAGTCCGCGCGCCTCAAGAGGCGCCAGGAGAACCGTACAGGCCAGCGCTCGGTCACGAACTTCGCCACCTACCCCAACAACCCCCGCGCCGCCCTGATCTTGAACAAGACCTTGGAGGATCAGCCGGAGTGGCAGGCAGGTACCGAACAGCTGTTACACGCCGTTGGGGGATGGGCGCATTTGTGCTGAAGCTTGTTTGTCGCAGTCAGGTTTCCTGCTTTTATTCTTGGCTGCTTCAACTTGAAGCGGGCAGACCATCTTGCAAGGGGGCCCTTGCCTTGCCTTACTTGCCATGAGGTTGCCTAAGGCCTGGGCGAGCCTCTTGGGGCCCAAGGCCATGTTTGGGCCACGCAGCCCCCGAGCCCCGCGGGGGCTCGGGGGAACGCGAGGTGGCAGTGCCGGATTTCAAGGGCAAGCGCCACGCCAACAGATCTCTGGAGCACCGCATGGAGGCGGTTGGGTGCGTCTTTTTTGAGGCTGCCTTCTGTGTGTGGTCCTTAAAGGAAGACCAAGAGGAAACCACCAGGCCACACCAAAATAATTGACTTTACTTGGACTACCTCACAAAACATAATCATGTGGATTTTCCTGAGTTTGTGCTAAGGGTCCAACCCCGTTGATTTGCTTAATTCTCACAGCAGGGTATGAATGGCCCATCGCCCCATTGTTTTGCTCATTGAAGGCAATTGAACAGGGAGGGGGCGTGTCTCCTTGCTTTGCTTTCGGTATTGATTGTGACCGCAGTGGCAGTTTCTGCAGAAAAAATGGGCAAGACTGTCTTCCGGCAACTTTCCTACTTGAGCCATCAGCTCAAATGCTTGGGTCAGCAACTTCACACACATGAGCGACCATGAGCAATGGTAACAAAGCAAGCAAGCAAACAAACAGGCACACAAATCGGCAAGCATAGTGAGTCATGGCAACACGGCAAGCAAGCAAACAAATCGGCAACCAAAAGAGACATAGGCAACGACGTAGGCAACCAAATAGGCAACCAAGTAGGCAACCAATTGGGCAAACATGGTGACCACAGGGAAATCAAGAGCAATGTAACAGGAGCATACAACAAATGGCTGTGGGTCCAAACCAATGGTACCCTTTGTGGGGTACGTGCACCCACTTCAGTCGATAGTGGGGATTGGGATGTTCACTGGGGTACGATTTGGATTTTGGCCCGTGGCCAAATGGCTGTGGCTCAAGCCGGAATTCCGAAATGGAACCCTAAGTGGAAACATGGAAACCAAAACCTGCGGTTTGCCCCTCCGGTTTAGTTTTGAGCCACACCCAAAGGTCTCAACCGTAACCGTGGGAATGGGAGGCCTTGGCCCACGCCTTGGACACCGAGCTCCACGCCTTGGCTCACGGGGACGCGGTGCTGCTCAGCGAGACCATCGAGGCGAGGCCGTTTTTGTTTTTGTTTTTTTTGGTTTTAATCTTCATAATAACATATATATATATATATACACATATATATATATATAATCATATACATTATATATATATATATATATATTTGTGGGGGGGGGGGGTGGTGGGGTTTGTGGGGGGGAGGGGGGCTTCGGACTCCGATTGCTCTTGTTGCTTTTCTTCTTCTCGTTCCGAGTCCTATTTGCCCTTGTTCTTGCTCTTCTTGCGCTTGGTGGCCATGCCTAATTGCCGAAGGTTGGTGGATTTGACGGGCAGGAGAAACAGCTATGTTTCTGATAAAAAGGGAGATATTGTTGTCAGTTTGCTCTCATGGGTACGTTTGGTCTTTCATCGGCATCGATGGGGGAACACAATGATAAGAGGGCGGCATGGCTGGCTGCCGCCCCCCTTTTTGTCGATACGCCGTTTATCAGCCTCCTCCAGTCTAAACTGGCAACCCTGGAAAGTAGCTGGAATCGAAAGACAAATCACCGGAATCAAAAGACAAAACTGGGACGAAGCGGATGCGCTTCATCATTTCTTTGCACATCTTGAGAGAGGCTGCCAGCAACCCCTGGCACCACGGCGAGTACGTACAGGAGGAAGGCCAGGTTTGTGTCGAAGCCAAGAATCCAGCATCAGACTCATCATCAGACTAGACCAGATCATTGCCTGCAAACAGATTGAGAGTGCTGTCCTGTTTGACGGAAGACCTTCTTGCAAAGCTGTGTAACTCGACTCAGCACAGTTAAGTCGTGCCAGGGCTCTTGGAAATCCCACTTCGTCTTTTTGCCCGTGTAGTTGTCGGGTGTGCAATCTAAATTCCCGTCCTGGCTTTGCAATCTCCACTGAGCATTGCGGGTCGGAAGCATGGTCGGAAGGGAAGCACGGGACGGGAGAATCTACGGGAAGCATGTCTGAGCCCGAACGATTTTCATGGGCCAGAGCACGCCCTTGATGGGATTGTTTCTCACCGGCAGTCCCACTTGTGATTCGTTTTGATTGTCACTCTTCCACAAGCTTGCAACACACTTTGCGAGAAGGCTCACAATGCATGATCAAGAACATTTACAACACCAGCTCTGCAAAGCTTTTTGTTTGTTAAAAGAGGTCACCATCCCTTCTGCTTTTCCCAGCTCATTGTCCATCTCACTTCTTAGTCTGCCTCTTGAGCATCCATGCTGAAGACCCTCCCTCCGACACTGCTAAACAAAGCAAGTTCTTGCCGTTGATATGTTCGAACCCAACTCAAACAATCCCTGGACACCATATTCAGTTTGTTTTGCTTCCAATCTACCGATCTCTTTACTGCTTGCAAATCGCACATTGGTTGCTCTTTAATTGTAAGGGGATTTTTTGCTCTATTTGCTTTCCTCTCTCTAGTTTCATCCAGTCATGCATGGGTAACACTCTGCCTGTCTGTCATCTACATTTGGGTATGGCTCAAATTTAACCAGGAGGGGTTACGCAGGTTTTGGTCCATGTTTCCACTTACCAGGGTTCCATTTTGGTACCGGTTTTTTGACCCACAGCCATTTCACTCCTTGATGTCGATGCATAAGGCTCGGGGAGGGTGCGGCTGGTGCGGCTCTACTGGCGCCCGCGGCCCTGGAAACCCAACTCATGGTCCCATTCATTTTCAGCGCGTCCGGAAGCCTCTTTGGGGACATGACGTGATCTACAGTATGTTGGCTGAATTGCTGTTCTTTCATCAGGTGACAGAACCGGATGATGTTGATGTATCGATCTTGTTTAGATCGATCTAGCAGGCCTTGTGGCCATCACTTGACCAAGCCGGGCAAGCTTCAAAGGAAGCTTTTGAATCCAACCACATGAGCCTAATGCTTCTCGGGAGCCTTCAGCTGGTCACTGAGCACCGCCGCTAAGGCTACATGGTGGGCAGTGTCCGAAGCTCAGCCGCGAGCCGCTGCCTCCAAGCCAGTCATGATATCATTGCCCAATGGGCAGGACATCGTATTGTTGGGACTTGTGAGACTGCGGATTTGTCCCACCTCCAATTGGAAGGCTGCAAACAGAATCCAACACAACATCCCAGAGGTGCCTTTGTTTCTCATTGGATCCGCAGGTTGAACCTCAGGTTGTGCAGGAGCCATGGTTGCAGGCAACGCCAAAAACAAATCAGCGAGCAGGGACGCCATGGACGCGCATATGTTGCGACCAGCCGTGACGGGCTTGCCTGCAATTGATAATTCTCAAGCACCCCGCGTTGACAGTGCTGCAAGTGACACTTGTTTTGAGAATGCCAGTCACATCAATACGATCTCCGCTAGCAGCTGGGAGATATAGTAGCACCATAGGCCAAATACTCTCGCAATTCAGAGTGTCGCTTTGCATTTTGGAGCTCATTTCATGCCGACCATCTTGGAGACCCGCATTTGGAGACCATGATTGGCAAAGCCTCCCTCCAACAATCATGGAAGCTGACAGGAGGTTCTTTCCTAGGCCCCTCCACCTCCATTTCGGTAACTCATAGGGTGTGTGTGTTTTTTGGGTACACCCTGGGATCATGGGGGCCATACATGCCAACCTATGATTTTCGTCCTGGTGAAAACCATGTACCGGGGCAAGCCATTTCGGGGTTGCCCTATTTTTGACCACGCCCACTTGACGATGACGCCAAGGCGTTGGTGCAGCAGCTGCGGGGGGACCCCCCCAGGCTGGAGCTCAAGGACAACCAGCAGGGGGCCCAGTGGGTTGGGGGGGGGGGGGAAGCGAGTTGGAGGGGTGCGGGTCAAGGGCTTTTTTTTTTTTGGCCTGGGAGGGGGGGGAGGAAAGGGATCGGAAGTTGGAGGGTATCTACTTGTTCTTCAGAGCAGCTATATGATTTAAAGCCACTTGCAGTGATTGAAGTAGCTAGATCATTTGATGAAACCTCCCATTGAAACGTCCCACATTTTGACATGTTCGCATTTGATTTTGTCTCCAAGTGAACGGGACTTCCCTTGGGGACAACACTTTTAAGCGTGTATCGTTTTGAGACCTCTACATGATTATTGAAAGATCAGTCTGTGCGGCAAATCGGAGGGTCCTGTCAACTGACCTGTTTCGTTGTGCGAGACTCCTAAAACGGCCTGAGCTTGAGAGCAGAGGCGGCTGGAGGGAGCTGCCGCGAGCTTTTCGGCGGACTCATCATGAGCTTTTGATCCGTTTGATCACTTCAGAAACCGTAATTCACCTGACACATATCTTCTTGGAGCAGCGGTTTTAGATAAATGAGCTTGGACTATTTGTTTGATCTGTTTGCACGCTGGTCTGCTCCATTCCTGCTTGGATTATTTGCCTTTGTGCTTTTTTGGAGATCCCCGACCCAGTACTGAAGCCGAAGTCCTTTGAACCTCAATGAAAGAAACCACCGCCAAGCAAGCCCTAACTGTAGATTTCTTTCAACCTGCCCTAACCCACTCCATATGAATCCTCATGCAAGCCTCCAGGCAAGTTCTCTCCTTTTCGTGAACACGACAGGGGGGGAGGGCGCTTTGCGCAGGATCAATGAGGTTTCATACGTAGTTGCGTGGTTCGCGCGAGTGCCGTCGGCACCGGGTCGAGGTTAGATCTGCTGGGATTCATGTGCGTTCTGGCGCAGGACACGGGCATGGCAGTGATCATCACACAGAAACCAAATGCCCCCAATGAGCACTGTTGTTCCGACTGGGCAGTATTGAAATGGTTCCGATTTCTGGCTTGATGTGGGCTAGCTATTCGACCTTTTCACAGGCAGTGCTCACGTCGCATGCACTGGATCGACCACGTCTCAGATGAAGCCGATGATTGTGCTGGCTTAAGGATGCTTTGACAGGACCAGGTGAATACCATCTTCCCCCTGAGCCGGCCGCTTCCTTCAGCCAGTCAGATACGGCGACTAGCCTACGCCTTCGACTGACTGAGAAATTCGGTGCACGAGTCGCAGGAACCTGCATGATTGCACCTCCAGTTGCAGCCTTCGCAAACCCCAGAACACTCTTTCTCAGTTCCAGTTGTACAGTTTTGCACAAGCGACAGCGACGTCAAGCGACCATGTCTCTTCCTCTTTTTTTTTTTTTGCGAAGCGCAGGGCCACCCAAACTCTGACTGGAACCTCCGAAATGCTAGGAGCACGTGGTTCTTCAAATTGAAGCTCCAAACGGGCATCGGCTGGCAAAATGCCGGCCACATAGAGTTCGAGCTACAAAAGGTAGACTCGGCCAGGCTCTCGGCGAGTCATTCTCTTTCCTGCAATTCAATTTGACAAGCAACCCTTCCATTTGGAAGTTCAGTGATGGACTCATATTCATTTCGAAATTCCGGCTGGGGGATGGCACGCTGATTGTAAATAGTGCGCTCCAAAGATTGAGCAAGGCGTCACAAAGCGCTGTTCTCAAAACAAAAAGTCTTTTTCGGGTCTCGCAGGAGTCTCGCGCAAATCTCGCGTTTGCCCACCCATCAGTCCTTCGCCCACCCGAAGCTCGCCCAAATACATCGGTGCCCCCAAGAGACAGAAGCAAACAAGAAACTCGGAAAGAGGCCAGCTCCGCGAGAGTGTGCGCTCTATGGAGGTAATGCGCAAATGAGGCTTGATCGGGCTGCCTTTGTGGAACCCTATATATCTCTTCAATCTTTCCACGCAGGAAGTTGCAGCGCGTCAGACTGCTTTTGTTGTGGCACGTTGCAAACTTGCGATTTGCTAGTATTGCTCTTGTATGTGTCTCCGGATGTTGTACTTTTTACTGTGGAACGTTGCACAAATGCATTGCGGCGACAATCGCTTGCAGCAGCTCGAACATTGCAATCTGGTAGAGCAAACATAGTAGGTGCAGATCAGCGAGTGACAGATGCGCGCACGCACAATCTCAGACAACAGAATCTAAGAGGAGATGCAAAGGAAACGCACACGTTCCACTGCTCAGAAATGCAGAGCTGCATTCAGCACTCCCAAAAGAGCATTCCCCAGGAGCATGTTTGATGTGTGCGTGAATGCTGGGATGCCTTTGCCAAATTCGGAGTATGTGTTGCGCGCGAGCGCTCCGGACCAAACCTCGAAATCGCATCATGCGCAGAAACAACGAACTTTGGGACATCCAAGACTAGACCAAGCTCGGCTTGCGGGCAGTCAAGTCTGTTTCTTCCGACTTGCGACTCTATCATGGCAGTTGTTAACTGCTGTCTTGCCCTAAACCCGACACAAAAGCCTGAACCACCTGAAATTATCCTAAAACCCTAGCAACTAAATATGGAAAACATCAAACTCAGCAGCCTAAGCATCCTAAACCCCAAAGAGGACGCAACACGTACATTTGGGGATTTTGGGGCAAAGTTAACGGAAGGGCGACGGCGGGCAGTGAAACAATTGCATAATGGCAGTCATCTTTGCTGGGAAAGGATGCCGCAACGCATAGTAGATGTTTGGCATACAAGATGGTCTGGCTCAATAAATTTGCTCTTGACCCTCCAGGCAAGACTTCACTTTCTTCGCATTCGGGACTTGGAGTGGTGAAGCATCCTGTCTGTGCCTTCGCTGCTTGACTCCGAGCTTGAACCCAGCTGAGCCAAACACATCCCTAGTCTGCAAGCAGGCTCATTGTTGCATTGAAACAGCCCATCAAGGCAATCAATGGCCCTTGACACACAGATTTTCTAGCACACGCAGAGATGTCAGCAATGCAGTGGTGCTCATTGTGCAACCCAAGATTGGGCGCGAAATCATGCTTGGTGCTGGCCATGCTGGGCCCTCAGCATCTCCGTTTTTCTAAATTTGACAAGCTGGGTGTCGGATGTGTTGATGAGCGGATGCCTTTTTTTTTGTGTGTGCATGTGTGTGTGTGTGTGCGCATGTGTGTGTGTGTGTGTGTGTGTGTGTGTGTGTGTGCGCCATCGCCTGCCACGTTGCCGCAGCCACGCGAGCTTTCGAACTCCGTCAATAGGCGCCACTTGGGGGGAAGTCGCGAAAGATGTCGAAGCCATGTGTCTTGCACTGCCTGGATGTCAAGATGGCCCAAGAGTACTGGGGCGCCGGCCTCAGCCACGAAGCTCCTTGCCGGCTGAAGCACAGGACACAAAAACGGCAAGTAATCGCAGTACTTGGGAGGTACATGCCAGGAGTACTCGGGCTATGTCACAAAGCCGGGCTTCTGCCACAACCTCAAGCAGATGCTAACGTGCAAGTCGGGTGACTGGGGCACTGCGTTCAGAGAGCCTTTCAGCTGCATCTAAGCATTGACCCATCAATCTTGGCAAGACGGCCTTTGCATAGGCGCAAAGAGTTGTGAAGTTTGGCACACCGTGTGCGGAGAGGTGGGGTGTGCTTCAGCTCTATGTCGCAGTCATCGTGGCCATCATCGTGGCATGCATCGACGCTTTCTCGAATGAGAACCATGTCGGCCCGCCAAGATTGTCGACCTTCAGTCATGCCCAGAAGCAAGCTTGTTTGGGGTTGAATTTGTGTTATGAAACACAACGTGGAGTGTGTGATCCTTTCACTTACTTGGTTTGTTTGGGAAAGCACAATCAACAACCTAACACAACAGTCTGCAACTGTCTCGAGACGATGGATCTCAGATCGCTTGATTGCTTCATGCGTTCGACGGCCATTTTGGCAAAAAGGATCAACATTTTCGCTCTGTTTTCCTTGCGCCCACCTACCTCCTGCCATCGAGGTAGTCAACCGGTGGGCAAATGAGGTGCGCCTAGACCAAATAACGCTCCTCGCGAAGGTGACCTTCTCGCTTGGCTACGGTTCATCCGGCACACCCTTGCCACGTCCGGCATCGGCGCTCATTACCATTTACCGACCCACGGACCTGCGAGGCGCAACATATCCTGCGCAGCCATGCTTACAGGGAGTTCTTCAACGTGCGCTACCAGAACATCTGATGGCCGGCGCCGAGTGACTTCACCGCGCCACCACAGTCTCAAGTCGGTGGACAGGGTGCCGCCAGCTCCACTCTGGGCAACGACGCCGCGCCAGGCCAGGGGCGCTGACCATCAGCGTGGTGGCGACCCTCCGTCCAAGCGCCCGCAGCCGACCTCGGACATTTGATCTGTCGGAGGACTTTGACGACCGCGTCCACGACCCGGACAGCCGAGCGTCCGAAAAGAAGCTGGGCCCGGCGAACCATCTGGCAGCGGCAATCGCTTACACCTTCCGGTGTCAGCTAGATTCCGCCCAAGAAGCCACCACCGCCGTCAACCGAGCCGGGAGAGAGTGTCGTCGCCACAAAAGAGGCTGGAGGCGCACGATCAACGTCCCGAGCGATCAAGCCCAAATCCCCTCTAAACGCCGGCCAAATCCCTGGCCCTTGAAGCCACATGGAAACACGCAGACATGCACCCACCCTCTACCTTGGAAACCAGCTCACGCAAACACAAGACCTCAAGGCAGGCGGGCAACGCGAAGTGCAATTTACCCGTGTCCAAAAGACTTGCACCAAGCGAAGCGTCAGTGTAGACGGGGTGTGCGCATATACTCCCCATTACCTCCCCAGCCTGCTGCGCAGAAGCACAAAACGGTACAAAGTCCGCGGCGCAGGCTTAGAACTGCATCGGCTAGGGTCTCGTCGTGCCGGCAGACCTTGTAAACAAACTTCTTTTCGTCTACGACTGGAGCGCGAGGGCTCCAAGAGAAGCAACACGACCCAAGGCAGCCTAAAAACATGTCAGTCGGCGATCATATGGCGCCGGACTGCGCATGTGCAGCTGCATCGACAGTAAGACCTATTGAAAGGTTGCGGGCAATAAGCCCCGCAGCGATCAGGGCAGCCACGGTATCCCTCTAGATGACCGGGCTTGCAATGGGCCAGCAAAACGGGGAAAGCCTGTCGTCGCTTCACAATTGGCAAAGGCGGGGGGCGGTGGTTTGAACAAGGGCCAGAGACAGTTTAAAAAGAAAAAGGACAAATTCAGGTTACAAAGAAGACTCGACGCTCTTCTTAGGAGTCCATCTGAACGGTTTCTATGGGTTCCTGGAGGGGAATTTGACCGGATGTAAGGGGATTTGACCGGAGTCTGAAGGATTTGGTTGGAGTTGGAGGTTGACCGGTTTTCTAGAGGGATTTGGCCGGAGTTGGGCCGGTCTTCAGACGGGATTTGACTGGGCTAGATGAAGTTGGCCGGTTTCTAAAATGGGTTGCTCACTTTCTTGACCAGTTTTGAGGGGGGTTTGGGGGGCAAGACCTTTCCCGAAAGAGTTTGGGGCAGGCTTGCTTCAGGCTGGAGCAGGGATTTTGGCTTGGGAATGCATCTTCAAAAGGTTCTGAAGCGGTGTGACCGCTTCCCGGCCCTGAAAGGCGGGCCGAGGCGAAGAACCGCTCGACACCGTTGATGACCCACACCCAGACACCAGCAGGCACAATCCCACAAGTGGGGATGCATGGGTGTTGCCAAAATCACAGGGCTTGGTTGTGATGAGGGATAGCGTTGTAGGAAAGATGCGTCAGAACGAGAGATATGGAGAGTCAGAGTGATGCACAGTGGTTCGCGCTTGTCATTCGACCTCGCATTTCAGCTGCATCCCTCGTGCCAGAACTGGATCACGATCGGCTGGAGATGCTGCGTGCAGATCGTTCTTGCGCCTTGAAGAGAGTTAGTTGTCTGGCAAATCAAATTCACAAGTCATTGCAGATGTTGGTGCTTTGCCCAACACACTATTCTCAGGCCTACCTTTTCGCACACCTCGGCTGGTTTGGTGTGGTCCGAAAAGAAGGGTGCTTCTGCTGCCTGGCCTGAGCAAAGCTTAAGGATGGTCTGCATTACCGTGGTCAAGTTTTGGAGTGCAGCTGTGCGCGCCAAAGGCTGCATCATCGCCTGCTGTGAATGCCCACCCGTCCTGCTCTTCTGGGGCATCCTGATGATGTTCTGGGCGTGCGGCTCCGTCCTTTCGGTGGCTGCTGCGAGCTGGCTGCACAGAGATCCGGGGTGACAGACGGGCACAGTTCCTGCTTTCGAATGGAAGCTCATGGGCTCAATGCTCAGAGTTTTTGTTGTTTCTTTTCGGGGGTCCTCCCAGCCTTTCGCAGGAACTTTAAGTAGCAGCGAGGAGTTTGGGAGCTTGGCAGAGGGTTTTTGAGCTCTCAGACTGTGGGCGCCTGCGCGGTGTGCTGGGTGAGCGTGATCCTTCAGTGCATCTATGCCATCATCCTCCTGTACATGGGCTATGCCTGCCTGACTCTACGGCCAGAAATGTCTTAGCTCCCCAGGAAACACAAGGGCCAGCAAGAAGGCGAATACTTATTTGTGCATTGAGAGGGAGATAATGTTGCCTGCCCCATGCAGACCCAGTTTCAGACCGATGGATTTAAGATAAGTTCATGATATGCCCTGTGTTAAGTTACCGTTTGTGTTCTGTAGCTTAGACGAGCTGCCGCTTACTTGTGCCCGGGATAAGACACTCATCGCTGGCATAGTACATGAGGAACGAATCCTTCATGACAGTTGAGGTTGATTTGCAGAAAGCTGTGCAGGCTGTGTCTTCAGTTTAGTAGTCATGGACCACATCTTCATTTTTTTTTAAAAAAAAATGAACATTACAGAGTTAAACACAAGCAGCAACCGCTGGAAAAGGAATCATCAGTGATGGGTGTGAGATTGAAGGGAAGGTGGTGCGAGGCAGAGCCTTGACTAGCAGCCTGCTTGGACCAATTGTTAGCGTACAGCAAACGCTTGTTTTGGCGGCGAAAACGTGAAAACAACAAGAACGCACATGCACTTTGCAGATTTGTCACCCGTGGATGTCAAATGAGCTTGTCTCAGCATGTGAAATGAACTGCCAGTTTTGAGCTGAAGTTGATGAAATGCGGTTCCTGCCCTTATACTTGAAAGTTGCAATTGTCTTTTTTTCATTAGCAAAGCTATGGCTGTTGGGCTTTGGCTGCCAACACGTGCTTCGCGTACTACACTTGTACTGACGTGTTGTGTGTTCTTCAGTTGGAGCTGCCAACGTGTGTGCGTTGCGAAGTTGCTACATGAGCTCCAGAAAGTTGTGATTTTGGAGCTTGAATGCACTGAGAACACGAAACATAGACCAAGAATACAGAGACTTAACTATCAAGCAAGTTCACGGGGTTCCTCCTCTACCTCAACTGCTCAGTTGACCGCGATTTGTCCATAGCATATGGCTGAACCCTGTGGTGTTTGCGACTTGTGTATGTGTGTGGGTTTGTGCGCGCATGACTTGGTACTGAATGCGAGATGTAGCGAGTCATACCTTGACTCAGGATGCTTTGGATGCAGCTGGGAAAAGAGATCATCCCGCCGAATATCGACGTGAAAGGCCCCGAGGGGGACGTCATCGGCCATGCATAGGGCCATGCGAGTTCCTAAGCCTGCGCTCCTGTTGCCGGCTGATTACATTCCAATTAAAACCCATAAGAGGAGCTGGTTATTTTCAGTTGGCAAATCGCGTTCACGCCGCATGATGCGAGTGTGATGCATTTGCCATACAAGAAAGCAGTTGTGTGGCTGGTTTCAGCCGGAGCAGGGGCTGTTGGGTGCTTCAGCTTTTAATCGTGTCTGAAGTACAGGCTGTTTGGCACGTTTTGAAAGCTGATGGACGCTGCGAATTGCAGCGTGCGTAAGCAGCGTGAAGTGTCTTCAGAGCTCTTTCGAAGTCGGTCAAAACGCGTTTCGACACGAAGGATCCTTTTGCAAGTCGCACTCAACGTGGACGCAGGAACGAGTTGTGGTAAGACTTGTGAAGGCATTTGTGGTCCTGGGATGTTTTTTTTTGGCCTGCAGCACCAATGGTGTGACTGAACTGACACGGTAATTTGCATGGGTGGAGCGTCGTCACAAGGGCGGCCGCTCGCCTGTGTCCGGCATTTGATATAGCCAGATGAAAATGGCCGAGATATTTTGGATCGTGCGTGCAGATGCATTCATTATTGCAAGCTGCTGAGGGAAATCAAACTTGGCTTCAGGCGAGCTGTCTTGTCAGAGAATTTACTGCCAGCCAGTGAGGCCGAACCCGAAGATGTCAAGTGCCGCGCTTGGATCGTAGAGTGATGAACGCGGCTGGCTGGGCAATTCGTGCGTGCTCGTTCCTACCTCTCAGTTGTGGACAATGCCTAGTTCAGGACGTGGGTAGCATAGGCTGAAGCTCAACAGGATGGCAGACCTTGCTGTTGGCGGCCACTCTGATTTGCGGCTTTATTTCCAGGTGGCAGCACGAAGTGTCGAGCTTTGATGATTCGTATTTGCAGAATTTCGATCATGTCTAAAAAGCGTCAACAAGCACGAGTCCATCATTGCATCGGCCTACTGGCGTAGTGCACAATCACATGCAAGTTGTGAAGCTCGAGCTGCGAGGCTATCACGTGCCTCAGCTGCAGCCATGTAGAGCAAGCTGCTTCAGAGCCTTTGATCAGATCCCAACTTCAGATTCGCAGCGGCCGCTTCAGTGGGGAGGGTCATCAGCCTTTTGATGGGAGAGTTTGAGGCAGCCATTGTGAGGAGCGCGACAAACGGGCGAGAGATCATGCTTGGCACTGCCGAACATATGCTTGATTCCATGTGAGCGGCGCTTTGGCAGCTTAGGCGGCGTTGGAGCTGGATCCCCAGGCCAATGGAAGAAGGCGCGAGCGTTGGCAACTCGGCTCGATCGACATCGACCCAACGCGCTGAGAGATGTTTGATGCACGCCTCGCGCAGTCTTTTCCAGCCAGGTCTCTGTTTCTGACTTGGGCTACAGACCTGGCCACGCATCCGCCAGGTCTGCGGCGGAACTGCGGCGTGGTGAGTTTGCCAGGCGCTGGTGCCATGGGGTCCGCTCGTTGCGAGGGGGGCTGGGTTCAGATGAAAGCGGCACATTGCCAGGCTCATTGATGGCTTTTCTATCCAAAGGTCGGGAATGGTTGAGTTGGCCAGGGCCCAAAAGCCTTGGAGTTCACCCGAGCATCTCAGGTTCCGGAGCCTTGATCCTCCCAGCCCAACTAAACTCGGCCCCTAGCCTGAAGCATCGGCGGCCTGAGAGATATGAAGCGGCAGCCTTGAGGTTGCTGCACATCCCGAAGGAGGTTGCCGTGACGTGGCTCTGCTGAAGGGGTTGGAAGCTACATCCCTACATGTGTCAGTACATATATATATATATATATACACATAACATTCTCATAGGTATGGCAGTCGGCATTCTGACCTGCGTCAAGGGTGTGGTGTTCGTTTGAAGTGAGTTCCTGAAGGTTGTGGTTGGGCACATTTTTTCGCGAATGCGGATTTTGGGCTGTGGGCCAACAACATGAGGTCTCGGGTGAATGGCAGTGGATGAGATGTGAATTGCAAGGTGGGCCAATTTGGAGCAGGTGATTGAGAGCGAGGCTCGCAGTTTATGCACCGTCAGCAATTTAGCCAACACTCTTGTAGCTTTTTTTGGCTGACCAGATCTGAAGACCTCACCTGAAAGTGTGCTTGTTTGTTGGATGCTTGGAACACATTACTCCATCAATATGGAAGCCTGTGTCTCGATAGGGATGCAGAGTTGGCAGCAGGCACGGGGTTCTCTTTCATTTGGCAGACACTTCCCTTGAACGCCACCCGGGCCGTAGGGCCGTGCGCACGCCGTGCACACGCGCACCCGGAGGTTGCGGTGCTGCGGGCGCTGCTGGGGGGACGACCAATCTGGAGCTCCGCGCCCAGAGTCCCCGAAGTCTCGGCAAAAGACCAAAATGGGAAGACGGAGCCATGTCTCCTTCCACAACTTGTGGGAGGTTACCATCGGCTGACTCCGGGGAATGAACGACTGTGGAGAAACCCTTATAGTCCCATGTCCCTCCTGCTACGCTTTGGGGTGGTCTTCTGGCTGGCAACGGCCGAAACAAACACAAATCGGAACTGGCAAAGCGAGGGTCTTGAGCGGAGCAATGTAAGAGGGCTAAGATGTCCGAGGGCCAGGGGCAGGCACCGTGATGGATGGTGTCGGAGCCTTTTCGTGCCTGCGCAGCTTTAGACGCCAGACATATCCATGTGGTGCACGACTCACTTTCACAGACAAACATGATTGTAGAGGCATTTAACAGCCAAGCTACAGCTTGAAAAACCAGGCGCCGCAGAAGAGAGATCATGTGTGGCAAAGTGGCCTAGCCAGCACATGGGTTCAAAGAAAGACGGAACAATTGCAGCCAGCGTGTGCCTGGCTCAGATGGCTGCACACATGCAGCAAGGCAATGCTGCTGATTTTGCTGGCACTCTGGGTCTCGGCAGCTGGGCAGTGCAGTCAAGTGGAGAGCCTTGGTATCAACTCAGTATGTCGGGAAATGCCTAGTAGCTCTTTTGATCATTTTGCGCGGACACCAACAGGGGGACTAATTTGAAGAAGCCCCGACGGAGTTGGAAGAGTTGGTAGACAGCCAGGATATGCCACTGCCAAGCGCAGTGCGTGGTCAGCGGCGTCCAGCTCTCCACATGGCAGCCAGACTGTGGGGCTTCTTTGAATGGCAACCCGGTGGACGTCATAGGAGAGGCTGCCAGTCGAGAATACGACGCGCTGGTCCAGTCCGACGAAGATCAGGCGCCAAGTCATAGTTGGGGGGGCTATGGAGGGAGTCTAACCCAAAGTCCTTCAGCTTCAGGGGCGGCTACAACTGTTGGAGGTTGCAAGCTCTCATGGCCCAGCAGAAAGAGAGTTGGACACTCGGACCTTGGCATTTTGGGTCATGTCAAACTGCCCAAAGGATCAGATCTGCAGGCTGAACCCGTTGGGGTCTGCTTTTGGAGCACTTGGATTCTAACGGCCCACCCATTTAAGATTCTGGATATGGTCCTCCCTTTCTCTGTCGCCGGGATCGGTTGCCATTTTTGCAAGTCAGCCCTGCCCTGAACCACATGGCGGGGGCTGGCAGTTTTTAGCTTGCAAAGCCAGCAGGCCAGCACGACTTTTGAAAGCAGTCGCAGGCACTTTGTGATCTTCTACGCTGCAGGCGAGACTGCTTGGAGAATTGCCCAGAGCTGGAAAGTTTCAGGGAGCAGTGCAGCAACGTCCAGAGCCTTCTACATGGCTGCAGCCGCTGGCTCAGTTGGACACAGCTCTGTAGTCGCAGTGTGGGTTACGTCCAAAGTAAACGTCAGCCCTGGACCCCTCGGTTCCGCAAGCAGGTGCCTCTCAAATGTGTAAGTCGTTGTGGACACAATAATCACACAGTGTCGAGTTTTCTTGCTGTTCTCAGCGGGGAATCTATGAATGACCCCTATATCCCATCCCCTATGGTTTCCTTTCAGGGAATCCCTAGGTCCATTCTCAACACGCTGGGTCATTCCCTACTGAGGCGTGGACTGCGGCCAGACGGCTGAAGTCCCGGCTTCGCGGGAGCTGGCCTTGTGTTTGGTCGGCCAGCTGCGGGGCGTGTGCCAGGCCGAAGCAACCAGCCAGTCAGCCATGCCCCTCCCTTGCCCATTGCCTGGGCGATATGGAAGCGCAACGGGATGGAAGCAATGGCATTCACGTCTCTGAAGAAAGAAACCACCTGCTTTCATGCAAACCATTTGATTGCATCAGCAGCTGTGAAGATTGGTTGGGACGTGTCATGGACATGGCCTGTTCTTGGAGGCGCTGTGAAGGTGCAGCATTCGGCTTGTCTCGACTGGTGTGTGTCAGGCGGAGGACTTCTCATCGCTGTTCGATGTATTTCTGGCCAACTTCGCCAGTGTTGATGTTTTCTTGGTCTTCCCTGACACATCCTGCCGGGGCCCTGTCTCGGCAGCACTGCGCATTCCAAGCATTTGGCATGTTGGGGGGGAGCTGCTCCCGGCCTCAAACAATATCCACTCGGCCTTGCAAAAAGACAAAGAGCATGGTTGCCAGAATAACTTTACGTTCTCCTTGAAGGGACAGGGAGGCAGTCGGTTGAACTGACCATGGACACAGATTTCGGAGTATTTCAAGCTCTGAAGAAGAGTGACATGTTGAGACCACGCTGTGCTACTACAGCTCTCAATAATCGGACACATCCATTGGTCACAAGTGTTGCACCGAAACAGGCCCAGCTCATTTTTGCCGGTGGGATCAAGCTCACACGGTGTGGGGCCAAATGGGAGTTCCGAGTTTGTTCCGAGGTGCCGAAGATGTCGCCCTGTTTGAGAAGGCGGCAGATTTGCACGACGACCTCCGCATCTTTTCGCTCTGCCAGTCGGACGATTTTTGGGACCCAGCGGCCTGCCACAATTTTGATTGCATGTCAGCCAAGAAGTGGGGAGTAAACAAGTTTTGTGTGTGTGTGTGTGTGAGTTTTCTGGATTCAACCCTAGCCTACGTTTCTGTTTTGTGTTTTTTCCCCCTGGAATCAACCCTAGCTCACTCAGGGATGCAGTGCCGAAGTCACAAGTGGTTGCGCATGTCACACCCAGCCAGGTTGAAACGCACTTCGTGGATTGGTTCAAGGGGCACGAGTGGTGGGTGCCTGCCTCATTGCGCTGATGTGGAATTTGTCGTGCTCATGTCCTGACATTGCTGATGCGACTACTGATATGATCACGTGCTTCTCTTTTGCTTTGTGAGGCGACTGTGTGGCACAACATGACCCGCTTGCGGAACATCATGCTGTGGGGAAAGCATGTAGCGGCCTGTGCTGCGGCAGTCGACGCGACGCAGACGGAGTATCGATTTGTCGCGCGGGCCCGGCCAGATGTCAAGTGGGTGAGCTTCATCCAACGAGCTGAGCTTGAGAAGTGGGTCCCAGGGCATGTGCTCACCAACTTCGTCGCCATGCCGATCCAGGGCGTGGCTGAGGATACCTTTGCTCTGGGTGTGTGGAGTGATATGAAGAAATATTTCGCATTCTACACTGACCAACTACTGGATATAGACCGGCTGGAGACAACTTTGGCACCCTGGTGTGTGGTGCATGCCACACTCCGCAACCGCGCACACTGCCAGACGCTTGCATTATCGAATTTCAAACAACTTGCAGTGATTGTTTGAGGGCATTGTTGATGGTGGGCAATCCAGTTCGCGCATTGAAGCTGAGAAAGATGGACTTGCATCGTTTGCAGCGAAGCTTCCAGGAATGGGCGGACTTCGCCCATTGATCAATGCCAGAGCTTGCATGTTCTCGTTCTCCTGCAAGGAGAATCTTCCCGGAGAATCTGATCGAGGAGCACCTTCGGCGTCACCAGCATGTACAGATCCAGAAGCGGCAAGAGATCTGCTTCGAGCGGGTGGCGCCCTGCATGCAGGAGCGGAATCACTACTGCGCCACGGAGGCATTTTGGTTGGGGCGGATGGACAGGGAACACCCATGCACACCGAACGGAAAAGGTAAATCGCCGAAGCTCAGCAGCTCTGCCATCTTAGCCACCAGGCACCTGCTTCCTTTTGCGGACGAAAATTTATCGGTGGGAAAACCAAGGCGGCCACAACCGTATGTCCCGTATTTCCTACCTGTGCACAAGTGATTCATAATCTGGACCTGGTATTACAATGGCTTACCCCGAACCAGTCGTCTCAGCCCGCGTGAGGTACCAGGTACAAGCAGCACGCCCGGGGCTTTCTTCAGAGCCACCCAAAGGACTACTTGCTGCTGGACAGGGACTTTTTCCTGACGGCCTCTGGGTTGCAGACTCAGTTGCCAGAAATCAACAAACAATATCAGGTCAGGCAGACCGTAAGAGAGTTTTCAGGAAATTCCCTGTGGAAAGGAACTTCCTGCAAGCCTTGGATGGGCGCTTGACCATAGGCCATAGCTTTTGAGGGAACGAAACTGCCAGTTCTCCGAAGACCTGAAACGACTTGTTTCCATTAGCGAGTCGCTTCGAAGGTCCTACGCGGACTATGACACAGTGCTGGCGGCCCGTTTGGTGCACTTCCTGTTGGCCGAGAGCTCGGGTCTGGGTCACCCGGCGCGGGTGGTGGACATGGGCTGCGGCCGCGGCTCCTACGTGGAGTTCTTCAAGAGCTGGGGCCTGCCGGTGGTGGGCATCGACGGCAACGCGGTCATCACCAGGTCCATCCGCTTCAACTCCTTCCTCTACGACTTGACCACCCCCCTGGACCTGAAGGAGGCACTTGGGACGAGAGGGAGCCTAGGCATCTGTTGGCGCTTCGGAGGACTTCGCCCAAGACGCGGCCCTTTGAGGAGAACCGCACACCCCAAAAATACTTGGCGCCAGGCCTTTGCCAAGGACAGCTGCGACTTTTCCATGTTGCAGCATGGCAGCCTCGTGGAGAAGGAGTGGCTGCGATTCGCCATGTGGCGCATTGGGTCCTTTGCCAGTAGGTGAGAAGCTTCGATTTGAAGTGCTTGCATCGGCCTGATGAGACCGCGTCAAAATGGCCAGGAGTACGCAGAGGAGGTGGCGTCCACAATGGGCTTTGGGCCTCTCCAGTTAAGCCTCTATGCATTGGTTCCCAGGACGCCAACCAAAACTATGCCCCCCTTAGGCCCTTTGAGTTGAGTCGCAGAATCACAATGCCCTGTGCCTTTCAGGATCCAAGGATCTTACTTCCGGGCATCGAAGCATCCGGAAGGCCATGCATCAGAGAGCCTCCTTGATCAGGAGACTGTGTGAGGCTCAGGTCGCATTCGCCATGGTTTCCATGTTGCACCCATTGGCCCATGGGATGATCTTGATTCTACAGGGCTGATTTTGATCACAAAAGAAGCGAATTGGAGCCAAAACAGTTGAGCCTTGTGGATGACCAATGAGGTGCTGGACTACCTCAGAACTGTTTGCTGTGCAGACAAGCGATGCGCGGCGTTTTCCTTGACGAGCGAAGGAGGCCAGCGGAGCAGATTTTGGCTGCAGATGCGAGATCAGAAGAAAGAGTGTGAAGGAGCACACATGCAGGAGAAGACGAGGCAAAAGGCAAAAGCAAAAACAGACATAGAAGAGTGGGGTGGGGTGGGGCGGCGGCGTCTTATCCTGCCCGCAAGGCGTTTTGCTAACGTGGCAACTTGTCAATGCCCAGGCGCGATGCACTTTGCAATTCTGCACGAGCTGTTGATTTTATGAATAGGTGTTTGCAGGTTGCATTTGCAGCTTGGGCGGCTTCTTTCCTACTTGATTCAGGAGCCAGCGAGTGCATGGCAGAACGAGGGAGCTACTCGCTTTGCGCCCGTGGACACGTACATATGGTATCAGGCGCATGTTCATTCAGAACATGCCATGCCAAAGGTCTCCGACGGACAAGAGATTCCCTTGCAGGTGAGAAGCGCATATGTGGTCAACTCCACTGGCTTCCTGGAGATCGCCGGCCCCGGCAACTTTCTCAACTTCCAGCTGCAGCG